AGATCTGATGCATTGATTTTAAAAAAGTTAAGATGTTCCATAAAAAGAACAAAGGTTTGAATTTGGAAAATGAGGTACATTGAAAGCAATGTATCAAAGTCTGTGTTAAGCTCTGATTGCTCCTTTGTACCTGCAGGCTTTTGGCATTCCTTCAGTTACTTCTGTCAAATGTTGCACTCACATGCACCTAAAGAAACGTTGTGTTTTGTACTTTTTGTACTCAGTGTAAGCAAGACTCCCTACTCCTTATCCTCCCTGCAACTTGAAAAAAGGTTGTTCCTGAGCAGCGTGGTTAAGCTAAGCAAAACTCACCCTCATAAAGCTTACAAATAAAGACTAAATACCGGATTACATAGAATTCTAATGACAACATAACAGACATTTTTTTGTATCACCTAAATGTAAATTTCCCCATGTTGTTTAGCATCCTCTTCATGATTACGTGTCAAGATAAACTCAGGTCACTTACTTGTTATGGTCCAGTTGTTCTAAACTTTTTAACTATGCTTAGACTGTTGATGTAGGCAAGTTTATGTCATGATCCCATGGACTTTGAGTTGTCTCTTTCTGTATTGTTGTCCTAGTCACGTTTGGTTAGTCATACCATGTGTTTTTGCCACTTCCCTCCAGTGTTTCCTGGGAGTGTTTACATTTTAATCCTCATCCCTTAGCTGCTCATAGACCTGCTCTGCGAACAGCTGTTACTCATTGAGTTAATTCAACACCCCTGTTCCTCGTTCCGGTAATCATTGCTCCTTGGTATTTCTTACCAAAATTTTCCTTCATTTTTCTCTGGATATATTTTGTTGTATAGTTTCTGCTGTTTCTTGGGTTTCTGTTTCTCTATGTTTTCTTCTGACATTTTGTACTTTTATGGTTTCTTGTAACAAATGCACTTTCTTCTGATTTTGGCCTGCTTCCTGTCTGGTGTTGAGTCCTTCCTTTTTATTAAATCAGTCTTCTATCCATCCATCAATTACTTTTCTCCTCCTTATTCTGTCAGGGTTGTGTTGGGTCTGGCTCCTATCTGCAACAGTCTATGGGCAAAAGGCAAGGTCACACCAGAAAGGTCTCCAGTCTGTCACAGAGACATACAACCTTGCCAGGTAACCTAACTTAAGTAATGTTTTTGGACCGTGGGAGGAAGCTGGAATACCCGGAAAGAACCAATGCATGCACAAGGAGAACAATCCAAAAAGACTCTGCATGGGCCAGGAATTGAACCCAGAACTTTCTTGCTGCAAGGCAACAGTGCTACAAATTGTGCCACACTGTGCAGCTTTAAATAAGACTTGACTTATGGAAGTCAGAAAATCTTGAAATTTTAACGCATGGTCACGTCATTCCAATTTGGAAATATTGTTAACTGAGATGGACATTTATGCTACAGCTCATCCCAATCTTAGAGGCACAGAAAACCTTTCAGAAAGTAAAAGTGAAATTTGAAAAGTGAAAATTATGCCAAATTATTCTTTAATTGAAAAGTGTATCAGAATCAGAATCAGAAATACTTTAATAATCCCAGAGGGAAATTACTTTTGTTACACGCTCCAGTTACAGTTTTATATAATATATACACACATCCAACTATACCATATAATAAAGATAAAAAATAAAAAAATAAAAATAAAATTGATAAAATATATACACATATAGCTCTTCTGTATATATAATGCATTTATAAAAAATGCCCCATTTGTTTCAATTATGTAGGAATTGTTCAAGGCAATAAGGGTGATAATTTGTAATCTGTTATTTATATTTAATATATTTATTCCCAAAGCATAAAATTATTCAAACAGAAGTTATGCTTTTTCAAACATCTATAGTCAGATTATACATTTTTAGTAAAAAAAAAATAGATTTGTTTTGAGACTTAAATATGCATGATACAATAATACAAGTAGTAATCTCCAGGGTATTGCGAACATTCGAAATTAGAATTTAAACTCCATCTCTAAGCGCTAACTAGTCAAACTCCGCCTTATATCAGGGATCTGATCATTCCTTATGTTCCTAACAGAGCACTCCTTTCTCAATCTTAGGGTTTACTAGTAGTTCCTATAATTTTTAAAAGTAGAATGGGAAGCAGATCTTTTAGTTATCAGGCTCCTCTCCTGTTGAACCAACTACCAGTTTCAGTTCATGATGCTCTGTCTACTTTTAAGGGTAGGCTTAAATCTTTCCTTTTCCATAAAGCCTATAGTTTGAGTAGATCAGGTTATCCTGAGTTATCTTGATAGCTATGCTGCTAAAGGCTTAGGCTGCTGGAGGACATAGGGACCACTTTTCATCATTCTGCTTATTCTATCTTTATTCTCCCATTCTGCTGTAATTGTTAGTTCAACCCCTAACTTTATCCTCTTGCTGTTTTTTCATCATAGCTTCTTAGCTATGATGAGAAAAAGCTTTGTCATAGCATATGGTCTGTTCCCGTTTGGCTGTCACACCATCCAAGGGAGAATTAAATTCACTGTGCTGTTTGCATGAACACCTTTGAGTATAAATGTTGGAATTGGGCATGTTTTTTTTTTTTTTTTGTAGTCCTATACTGGGACTAACTGCATGTGCTGTTTTCATCCTCTGACATGGGAGCTGGCTCAGAGCTAATCTGCCTGGCTGTGTGTTTCCTGGACGGGGTCAACAGTGGAGCTGGTTAACAGTTACCTTTTGTATTTTGTACCTTTCCTTCTTTCTGTATGTCTGCTTCTGTCTCCCAGTCAGCCTCAGCAGATGGCCCCTCACACTGAATCTGGTTCTCCTGGAGGTTTCTTCCTGTTCAAAGGAAGTTTTCATTTCCACTGTCGCTTCATGCATGCTCCTTGTGAGAGATTGCTGAAGAGTCAATGAGTCAATGCTATCAGCTGGTTTTCTTTATCAAAGCAACAGAATTACTTAATTAATATGAACAGCCCTAGAACTACAGGATAAAATGAGACATTACTTTTTGGTAGACAGTTTATCAGCACTAGATATTTTTACCTCGACATTTCTTCATGTTTCTTTCCTTACTAAAATGTATATTAGGTAATGTATCATGCCTTTTAGACATAAACCAATTTTTGGATAATGCAAAAGGCTTAGCTTAAGCTATACATATAAAACATGTAAAGAACAGAAGGAAAACATCTGAAATTGTACAACTGTGGAGTAAGCTATGAACCCAAAGGAACATGAAAAGAATCTTTACAATGCGCTTCATTCCATCTTACCAGTTCCTTTTTCTTTGAAAGCGAAGTATAAAAAAACACAGCCATGGTTAAATATTTTCTTATTGTGCCTCATTTACAAATGAGGCAATGTGGACCAAAGAATAACAGACTCAGATGAGACACCATGACAACAGTACATGGAAATTTACAAGCTCTTTGACCCACAACATGCTGTTGTGAGTCTTATATTTTATCTCTAGATTATTATTATTTTTTTTGGCTTTTGGTTTTAGAGAAAATACGTTGAATATTTTTCTTAAAATAATCTTGTTTTTTTTTCCAAATGATTCTTACATTGTGACTTATTTGGTTCTAATTTATTTGTTTAAAATTTCAATGCTGCATTGTCGAGGGACATCTACAGATTGTAGTTGTAAATTGTCATAATTTGGCTCACCTCCCAGGTGTGCATGGCCAATAATGATTAAAGGCTAGATTAAAAGGCTGTTTGTTTGTCTGCCTCTTGCATAATGAACGCTGGAAGAACAGTGGCCCAAAAAAGTATTCAGTCAGCCGAAAAATAAAAATCACTTTGTAGAATTTTTTATTTATTTATTTTTTTTTTATTAAAGTAAAAAATAAGTGACCTATAAACAAGCAAGACACCCGGCCCTTTCCGATCCAAAACTTCTCTTTTAAGACACTCTTCTTTCCTCCACTCGTTTCCTGGTTCTGAATCAGTTATCTGCGTTGTCCTGTCCACAGCCTCAAACGTTTAGACTCAATCAAGGCCACAACCAAAGAGCTCTCAAAGGACACCAGGAATAAAACTATAGACCTGCAACAGACTGGAATGAGTGAATCTATAGTAGGAAGCAGGTTGGCGTGACAGTTGATAATCTCCCTCGATCTGGGGGCTACATTCAAGATATCATCCCATGGGGACAAAATGATCATGAGAATGGTGAGCAAAGATCCCAGAACTACATGAAGGGAACTGAATGACTGGAAGAGAACTTGAAACAACATAGCAAAAGGCTACCATCAGATTACATTACAACACATTACATCCAGAAGGACTCAGATCCTGCTGTTGCAGAGAGCAGATGGAATACCCAGAAGAGGATTAGGAGAACATCAGGTTGTCAGATGAAACCACTATAAAACTTTTTGGCACAAAATCACTCGTGGTATTTGGAGAGAGAAGAATGCGAAGAGAAGAGTTGCATTTCTAGAACACCATACCTACTTTTAAGCATGAGGTGGAAACATCATACTTTAGCTGCACTTTACCTGCATTTTTTGTCCTATATTTCCTAACAGGAAAAGTTAACTGTTTTAAGAAGGAAAGCATTTTTTGTTTTACTATAACCCGGGAACTAAAAAAAACCTTATTTGCAATAATATAATACAAGATTACTCCCTTCATTTAACTAATTAATTGAATATTTTACCCTCAAGTCTGTTCTGAACAACCAGACCACTTTATGTGACTACCTGTTCTGTACAGCAGCTCAAACAAGCCACAAGAGGAAATGTTAAAAAAGACTTTCAAATTTCTTCTGTGTAAAACTTTTTGTCTGTACATGGACCTGGCTGTCACGATGCCTCTGTGTGATCGGTTTCTTCAAGGTCGGTGTAACTCACAGCATCACAGGTTATCCATTAATTCCAAGCTGGACACACTCCCATTTCAAACAAGGAGGGAGGTTTAACCAGTAAATCACGCCTGCCAGTTGTTTCCACTCCCTGTTTGCAATCTGATTTCTCCATAAAAAAGAATCCGATAAAATTTGTTGGTCCTGACTCAAAAGTAACACACCGATGAGGAAGGCAGATAGAGGACAGGAGAGGAGCACCAAGCATCACTCTGACAAGACCGCTCGAGACTGCACACAGGAGCAAAGGAAAACTACCTGGATGACTGAATAGGACCTCACTTAATACAACTGTGACTGTTTTTAGCTCTTTTAAATCATCAAAGGATGGGGGAATCAAAGGAATCTGGTGCAGAGGAGAGACCCAAATGGGACAACAAGGTCCAGTACATGCTGACAAGCATTGGCTTTGCAGTTGGACTTGGAAATGTGTGGCGTTTTCCCTACCTGTGCCAAATCTATGGAGGGGGTGAGGATGCTATATTTCAGTTCCTTTTATCTAAATCCCAACTGAATTATGACATCAGGGAGATGTTCTGCTCAATACTTCCAGCTTCTGTATTCACTTCCTCATTTCTCCCAATGAGATATGTTAAAACAGAAAGGCAAAGAGTCCAAAAGAACAGGTTAAGTTATGTAAACAGACATTTCAAATATGCCCAGGCTCTATCAACTTTACATATTGACTTTGAGATTCAGATTCCCACAGAAAAGATTATGCTCCCAGCTGGGTCTTTGTGTTACTGCTTTAAAATGATAAGATGGTCACATATTCCGTATCGTTCGTTTCTTGGTAACAAATTCAGGAAAAAATGAATATATTCCTCATCTCTTAAAGGTCATTTTTGTTGCATATTTAATGAACCTCTTATTAATATACAACCAAAATGTAAAACAACATATAATGCTGTAATGCAGCTAATGACTGGAAGTCATTGATACTTAATGTATAACGTATTGTAAAACAATAAACCCTCCTTATCCTATAGCCTCTGTTTCTATGGTGTTATCAGGTGCATTCATCATTCCTTACCTGATTGCTCTGGCTTTTGAGGGCCTCCCACTGCTCTACCTGGAGCTGGCGATTGGACAGAGGCTCCGAATGAGCAGCGTGGGAGTCTGGAGATCCATTTCTCCACTGCTGGGTGGAGTCGGTGGGTGAAAACAAAAATGTTCATTCTTTTCAATTTTCTTTTCTTAAAAAGTTGGCCTTTATTCTTTAGGTTTTTTTAAGGGTTACCAATGTGAATTCAATTTTAGCCCAATGTGTATAAAATTATCACAATCTAGAATTTATTTATCTACCAGCTTTATTGATTAGTAACTAAAACATCTTAAGTATACCTTAAGTCTAAGATTGTGTCTCAGCCATGGTTTGGGCATTATGTTATGTATGACTTTTGGTTTATGTAAAGAGTAACTAAGCCCTAAGTTAAATTTTTTTTTTTGCTGGGAAACTCGATAAATATGACCTTAAGGGTTCTATCATTATTTTTAGGGTTTGACATTAACTTTTTAGCTCGCTGTCCACTGTGGCTAGTGGTTTTCCACAATTACTAGCCAAGCAGCTTTTTTAATAGCCACAATTTTAGTGTTAGAAAATTATGTTTAATGGGATGAAAACTAACTATGGCATGCTAAGATTTGATTTACTTAAACTTCAATTTACTACTTTTTAAAATGACCTTTGTACGCGCTCACCAAACTGCATAAAATGTTTAACAATCCCATTCAATATCAAATATTAAGCTCCGACAAGGTTTTCCGTAAAGCCCCTTTTATATGAAGTTATGCGGTGTACAAAGTAATAAAATGTGTTGTTTTTATTGGGTGTTAAAATTGTTGCAGAGAAGAAGAAAATTGATTTCAAAGATAAAAACCATTTTATATTTAATCCAGCCGAAAGAGAAATACCAATATTCAATAATATTTTACCTGAATCAAAACTACATAAATTAATCTAATGTTATCAAATTGAACTGAAAAAACAACAGAGACTCAAAGTAGATGAGGATGTGATTGAATTAAATGCAGCGGGAACTATATTATCCAAATATTTTACGTTGAATAATTTATGTTGGGTTGGTGGAAGCTTTGCACATGTGTAACTAATTTTCAGTTAAGACAACCGGGGGGAGAACCACTTCTCTCTGCCTGCCGGCATTGGCTGCAGAGCTGCAATTGACTTACTCCCTGCATCTTCACTAAAGATGATTGTTAAACTCTGAGCAAAAGGGATTTGGAAAGTCAGTAAATAAAGGGATAAAGTTGTTAAAATGGCAACAGTGTTTTCTGTCTTGCCTTTCTTCTTTCTATCCTCAGGTTTTTATTTGCCTGCTCTGCAGGCTACAGGTTTGAATGTGCTTTACAACTTTGTTCTCCTTATAGGGACTGCATTTCTGAAGTGACCAATGAGCAAAAACTGTGCTCAGGCTCATGGGAGATACAGTGTTGCAGAGTCACATTTAGATTTGCTTATTATTTCATATGATGTTGGACAAAACTACGATTTAAAAAGTACATAGAATCCAACCTGCCAAAGAGGCTAGTAAGAGTCGCTGCGCTATCCCCACAGCTCACATTTACCTGCTTTTGGTGGGTGAATACCAAGCTCTGTTTTATATTACAGATTTTGGTGGTTAAATGTTACCTCTGTTAATTTTGCAAAATCTGGTCAAAAAACATCTTAGTGCTGCTCCTATATTGGTTTGAACATGGCTACTGCAGATGACTCTACCTATTGGTAAAAAGCAACATGTATTTGTACATGTCTATGTTACAGCCGAGCTTACAGGTATAACACTGCGTTTGATTTATTAAGAACTGTGAAAGGGTTTGGAAGCTGTGGACGCTCCATTGCTCGTAAATGGCCAAGAATTGTCTTAAAATTTTATTTTGAAGTGTTTTTTTTTCTTCTTAATTCATAATATAATTGCTATTTGGAAACTAAGGGTTTCCTTAGGAGATACCTTACAAAGACTATGACTCTTCTATAAGGTATTCTGACATCGAAACACCAATGGAACGCACCATAAACATGCCACAGAGGCGAGTCATTAATCAATAGCCTTTCCAGATTAGTAGTTTATTACCTATTTGTCAGCATAGTTGTCGAGCCTATTTTAGTTTCCTTTGTCAGAAACTATTTAGGGGCTGAGTTACGCTTTTTCTTTGAGGATTAGTTACAGTTTAACCTTTAATGCATTGCAAGGAAAGCTTTGAATGTATTGAAGTACCTCGTAGTGAAATGCTTACTGCTGACCCAAATCCTAGTTTTAAAGTCACATCCTATATAATTTTTTTTTGTTTTATGAAAAGGGCACTATCGGTAGATGGTACTGTTGGGCATCAGGTCTTTAACTGAGATAGTTAAATTTAATGTTGTTAAGATCCTGTAGAAATGCTGTATTTCAACATTGGTGTTGCAGATATTTTTTCACATTAGGACCAAAAAAAAAAAGAAAAATATTTTTTTTTTTCTTGTTATATGACAACTGATAATCTTTCTCTTGGGTTAGGCATATCATCCATGATTGTATCATTCCTGGTATCCCTGTACTACAACACCATCGTGGCCTGGGTGCTCTGGTACTTCTTTCACTCTTTTCAAGAGCCGCTGCCATGGAGCCAGTGCCCTCTGAATGAAAACAAGACAGGTGAGGAGAAAAACGTTTACCTTTGAATCATGCTAGTTGGTGCTTTCAATATATTTATGATGCACTTGAAACGTGAAAGCACCATATATATATATACATATATTATCTAAGAGCGTCAGAAAATCTGCTTTGAAATGATAACACCAACTCCAAAGCAAAGCCAAGAGCTACCAATAAACAGACAAGTTAATCATCAATCTTTGAGTGGGAATTATTCAATGGATTTATTACACACTGGCATGAAAACTACTTTAACTACTTTATGACCCCTCCCCACATTTATTGATTTAACTGTGTTGTGTTCAACAGAACAATTAAACATTATCAATCTCACAATTAAGGCAGATAATGCTATCCGGTAAGAGAATCATATGTATCTATTTTCTGATGGGTTTCTGTTTCCCTGTAGGCTATAACATTGAGTGTGAGAAGAGCACAGCAGTGAATTACTTCTGGTACCGTGAGACCCTGAACATCACTCCTGACGTCGGGATCAGCGGCTCCCTGCAGTGGTGGAATGTTGTCTGCTTGGTCAGTGCCTGGTCTGTGGTCTACATCTGCTTCATCAAAGGCATTGATTCCATAGGAAAGGTCAGCACACATTTTCCTATAAACTTAAAAAAAAATGCTGTTTGTTATTGATAAAAACTCATGATTATAAACCATTTATCACCTGAGTGATGCATGCTGGGTTAATGATGTGATTACAGCTGGCCTGGAACTTACAGAGTAAACACAGGAAAGGATAACATTAACCAAGTTTGGTGGTTCTACATAAAATATACATTTAATTGGTTGTGCAGTGGATCTATATTTTTAATTACATAGCCTGCTTGCAGAGAAAAACTGTGCCTCATAAAAATGCATGCAAAAAAAAGATATTAGATGGGGAAAATTTTAACTGTTTTTGACTCTATAAAGCTTCCTGGATGGGAAGCGAAATGTCTTCAAACTTGGAAACAAACTCAAGTGTTTTTTTTTTTAAAGAAAAATCTATCTTACAATAAAATAAACACAATTTAATCTGACTTCTAGTGACTAAGAATCAATATGGTTTGATTTGAGCGCTTAATCACTCATAATGCATAAATCCAAACTCTGGCGAAATGAGAAGGTATTTAAAATACTAGTAACACTATTGAATATTCATTTTTTATAATTCATAAAAAACTGCAAACTTAAAGTGACGCTCCATTTATGGGTACAAAAAGGAATTAAGTCTTAGCCTTTGAGTATTTATTTTTAAACGTCTTTAAAAATGTAATTAAAAAAGGATTACTGCGAAATAGCATTTAACAAAGTATAAAAACGTTATATAAAAGCAGTTGGATAACATTAAAAAAAGTTTGTTTTCCTATTTCTTTTTTTAACCATGGTAGTCACACTGCAAGAAATTCATACCAGCCCATGCCTACTAATAACTATCAACTAATTCTAAATTAAAAGGAACCAGAATATCTTACTCTTATTGTTTATTTTGAACGTTTTCAGGCTGTTTATTTTACAGCTACATTCCCCTACTTGGTCCTGACCATATTCCTGATCCGTGCTCTCACTCTGCCTGGAGCTACTGACGGCCTGGTGTATCTCTTCACTCCTGATGTGAGTTTGCCTCTGATTTTAAATATCCTCTGACAAAAAAGGCAAAAAACAGTGATTAATATGTAGATTTTCTTACTGCAGTGGGAAATACTGAAGAACCCCAAGGTTTGGTTAGACGCTGCGACCCAGATCTTCTTCTCTCTTTCTATAGCATTTGGCGGTCTCATAGCATTCTCCAGCTATAACCCAGAGAAGTGAGGCGTGGAACACACCATCTAATCGGGGTGATTTTCTCAAAACACTGTCTTATTTCTTCTTCTTGTGTTTCAGAAATAACTGTGAAAGAGATGCCCTTGTTGTTGGAATAACAAATAGTGCAACATCAATTTATGGATCAATTCCCATTTTTGCCATACTGGGATTTAAAGCCAAAACTGCTTTCAACAATTGTCTAGAAGAGTATGTTACTATGGATATCTGTGTTGTAATGAAGTCTGGTCCAGTAAAGCTTGAAGAAATGATTTTCCCTGATCTCTTTTTTGCAGTAACATCTTGACTCTGACCAACTACTTTAATATCGCAGACCAAAACATGACTGTGGAAAACTACGATCAGTGGTTCGATCATTTTAATACGACCTATCCAGGAGAGGTGTCTGCTTTGTCTCTAAGGGACTGTGATCTAAAGAACTTTCTTGACCAGGTACTCAGATTTTCAACATTCATACTACATCACACTATGTACTGTCTTCCTTTTTGTTGCCCTCCTTTTTCTTGTGTGGGCATAAAGATATTATTTAAACAGGATTTAAAAATGTTGGGGTTTTTTTGTGTCTAACTTTATTCTTTGTCCTTCAGAGTGCTTCTGGAACGGGCCTGGCCTTTATCGTATTCACAGAGGCTGTCTTGGAGATGCCTGGGTCTCAGGTCTGGGCCATATTGTTCTTTATCATGCTCTTCACCTTGGGTCTTTCCTCCATGTTTGGCAATATTGAGGGAATCCTGACACCCATGCGAGAGCTCAAACTGGTCCCAAAGTGGGTCCCCCACGAAGTTTTGACAGGTACATGTAATTCTTCTTAAAGCAGCTCAACTTCATTGCGGAATTAAAATGTCTCTTTACTGTAAATGAGCAATTTCCTTGCTGCTTTAGGCGCCGTGTGTCTTGTATCAGTCTTGATTGGCCTCATCTTCACCCTGGGTTCTGGTAACTACTGGGTGGAGATATTCAACAGCTATGTGGGCTCTATACCTTTTCTTGTCATCGCATTTTTTGAGATTGTGGGAGTTATTTATATTCATGGAATGAAAAGGTAAGGATTTCCCTTTGTTCCAGATAAAACCTTCAAAGTCTTGTAAAACTACACAAATTAAAACATGTTTTTATTGTTACAGTAGTAGCCGTTCAAAATTTCCCCACTTTCCTTAATGGGCCCTTCGATGGTCCTTGGCTTGTCCCCTACAATTCCTATTTAAACACCAATATTTGTACTGAAATATTTCTTCTATCATGATTTTTGGACATTAAGATCTAAAGAGAAGACCCATCTCCTGGTCAGAACCTGTAATTTAGTGAAAGAGTGCAGTCAGAGTAAAAAAATATGCACGCCCAGGAGGAGGGCGTCACTCCAGTGGCTGGAAGTAGGAGGGGATTCTGCTGGGAGTTGCAGGGAAGTAGGCTGCCATTCAGCTGGTGTTTGACTGGGAAGGGCCATTTTGAGTGGCTGCTGCTGTACAACAGTGTTTTCCTTGTACAGTACAAATCATACCAATGGTAGGGCAGTTAAATGCCTTTTAAATGATGCATAAGCAAGGAAAATCCCTTTCTGGGTTGAGCTAAATCCACTGCCCAAATGTGTGCTGAGCTCATGACTCTTATACCCCTTTCTGTGGCCGAAAAACCCATTTAAACCTGGGAACAATCGGCTTTTAGAGTCAGTGGAAACAGCTGAAGTGTGTATCCCGGGTCAAACGACCTGGCAAGCGACACGCGTTAAAATCACCTTGGCTATGATCGGCATGCTGTGGGACCACCAGACCCGGATTGACCCGTTGAATTACGTGATGACTTTGAGCAAAATGTACGAAAGTCGCAAACATCTTGCCGGTCGAGTATTAAATAAAGTCCAAACAACTCTGCTTGTATTTGAGAAACATAGCACAACACTAGAGAGACAGAGATATTTGTGAGCTCCTTATGATCCGCGGAGAAGATTCGTCGCCAGGTATCAGGCATCTTTCAAGTACGCTCTGGCTCTCTTCCATGTTGCTCGCCATTATTTACTTCACAGATTTCCATCACACTGTCGACGCTCACCCAGGGGTTAGACATGGTTTTTCGGTCAAATATGAAAAGAGCCAAAAGCCAGTTGTTAGCGGGTCAGTCGGTTTTGAAACACCCAAGTTTTAAGTGTGAAAGGGGCTTTGGTTAGTGTTGCTTTTTGGATCGGATGATTAAAGTGTAAAGTGACAAGGCCATTGGTATGTAGGAGAACATTGAACGCTGCTGTGCTTGACATCCCATTGTGGATTGAAATTTCTCACAAGTCAGCCCATGTGGCTGTGTTCTGTCCCACTGGCATGAAAATCAACACCCAAGCTAACATCACAAGTGTTTAATAAAGCTGAGGTTAGCAGGGAATTCTCCTTGTATGTCTTAATAATCCATGCTTTGTTTGAGACAAGTAATGACATCTTAGAGGCAAGAGTTTTTCCAATAGTCTCGGTTGACATAAAATACTTTGATGCTCCACCCACAAATGAATTATCCATGGGCAGTATAATTTAAATGAAAACAAAGAGGTTTTCTGATGGTATAAGAATATAAAAATAATCTGTACTTTTCATATTATTCAATTTGTTCTGACAGGTTTAGCGAAGACATTGAGTTCATGACTGGGAGGAAGCCCAACATCTACTGGAAGGCATGCTGGATGGTTATTAGTCCAATAATGCTCCTGGTGGTTTTTGTTTCTTATGTGGTTATCCAGGCGCAAACATACCCAACATATCCTGCATGGAATCCAGACTATGTAAGCAAGTCTTTGTAATCTTTCAAAACTCATCTTTTGTTTTTCATTGTTTTTATAGTTTTATGGCCAAAGAGCATGGCTAGCTTAAATACATTTAATTACTTTAATATGGTGTAAAAAAAAAAAAAAAAAAAAAGTATGACAAGGCAAGACACTTTTAATATAATTTTTGCAGGGATATGAGGGCACTTCTGAAATAAACCAAAATAAACTAAATAAATTACACTGATTTAGACTCGCTGTACAACAGTGATGTTTATTTAAGATATTAAAGCAGTTTTGTTCTGTTTATATTCATTTTCGCTTACCTTAAAAAAATTAAATAAAATCTAAGAAAATTAAAATATAAGAAAAAACAAAATAAAAGATCAGCTTTTAATGTATATATAGTACATGGCCTACCATGTACTATATATGATTACGATATTAGGTCGGGCTTGTTCGATCCAATACGATCAGCTTATAGTGGTTATGAGATGTGAATTTGCTTTATTGGCAGCCTTCCGCTCCACTTCATTGTCGGTTAGGATGTCTCATCTTCCCTTCACAAATGCCATAGGTAGAGTGGGGCTGAGGTTAGGCCACTTTGCTGGACAAATCAAGCATAGTTCCAAAATTACTGGCACAACTTCGCCAACTCCCAGTATGAATGAAGATGATCAATGAACCGGTGAGGAAAAACCTTGCTAAATCAAGCAAAGTGACTTTTTTGTGTCCTGTTTTGCCAATGCAAGTCTGGAAATGGATGTCCCAGAGCTAGATGACATTCCAACAGCTTTGCTTTTACAAGCAGACCATTATGACTGTTGTCATAAGGTTGTGCTTGGTATTGATTTGTATACGAGTAAAATTATATACTATGGAGACATAGACAAAAAGATTGATAAGACTCGAGGTGAGCCCCAGATAACAAAAATGCACCCCAGATCACTGGGACACAAGGAGAGCAGACATAGGGATGGCCACACCTACCAGTCAAGGGCAGAAAAGAGCATCTGGAGTCCAACCCATGGGGGACAAAACCCAAAGTGACCCAGTCCCTGAGCAGCTCGACCACAGGGGCCAAAGTGCTGAGGTCCCACAAGGCTGTGGCAGCAAGCCCATTGGCTGAGCCATTGGCCGGTCACGCACAAGGTGGACCAAGATGAGAGCCCAAGGGTGCAAGGTCCGGGGGCGCACCATCCCCTAGTGCGGATTCCACAGGGCCAGAACTCCCCAGCCCTGCCCAGCAGGCAGCTGATACAGCACACACTGTGGTACCCAACCCCGCACCTAGAAAATCATCAGCATGTCAGCAGACACAGGCACCTGTTACTGCCGGGGGGGCATAATAAGGAGCAGGGGGCAGGCACTGCTCATACTTGGGGCAGGGGATACAAACATCAAACTGATAAGTAGACAAGGAAAACTTCACATGTATCCAGTCACATTAACACAACCCCACCCTTACACCCATAGGGACACATACAAGCACTCATACAACGGACATGCACACAGGAGACGCTAAACATATTCTTACACCCCTCAAATAAACACTATCCTCCCAGGTCTGGGGGCCAATCCCTCTAGGGCAGTGGTCTCCAACCCTGGTCCTCAAGATCTACTGTCCTACAGATTTTAGATGCATCCCTGCTTCAACACAGCTGAATCAAATGATTGATTACCTTTTTTAAGCCATTCATTTGATTCAGCTGGGTTGAGGAAGGGATGCATCTAAAATCTGTAGGACAGTAGATCTTGAGGACCAGGGTTGGAGACCACTGCTCTAGGGGAAACAGGCCTAAAGACCCAAGAGGAGATACCTTGATCCCCTAGTGTGGAAAGGGGCCAGAGCAGGGAACCTAGCCACAAGAGTCCATCCTGCTCCCAGCCAGTCACAGCCATTCTAGGTCCCTACATCCATATGGCCCCCTAGGCAAGTGTTATGAGGTGTAAAAGATGTCAAATTTGCTTTGATTGCAGCCTTCAGCTCCAATGCATTGTTGGTTAGGGTGTCTCTCATCTTCCCTTCACAATATGCCTGTAGGTAGAATAGCACTGAGGTTAGGCCTGTTTGCTGGACAATCAAGCACAGTTCCAAAATTGCTGGCAGAACTTCAGGTTCTGCTTCACTTGAAGTGCAGAAACACACTGAGAGTCTGAAATGGGGTTGGTTTCAAATATTGTTCAGAAATTTGTCTACAGTAGATCCATCAGTGTGCTCTTCCCCTTTGCCAAGATCCTCACAGGTGTGGCATATCAGGATGGTGATTAGACATTATGATTAATGCACAGGCATGCCTCAGACTGGCCACAATAAACAGCCTCTGCATGGTTCTAGCATAGTAGAATGAAAAATTTGGCTGTGGATTCCGGCACCACCGGCTTCGTGCATTGCTATGTCAGGGCCTTCAAGCAAGCAGCTCTAATGCCTCCCTCTTAAAAAAAAAAATCTATCCATGGTATAATTACCAGTATCTGTCTGCTTGCTGTCCATGCCTCAATAAGGCTAGCATGTAATAGACAACTCTTGAAATGTTTTAAATTTGTCTGGGGGTGGGGTTTGGCTTTCACATAAAGTTTGATCGATAGGCCTAAAATAATTCAGCTTAAAGTGGAAATTAAAAGGTTAACCAAAGTAACTTAATTCACGAGATTACTATTACCAATAATTATATTATAAACGTGAAAAATGTAAAAGAAAAAATGTAGCAATGTTTTATAAGTTTTTTGGCAAGAGTGCGGCCATGTTGCAGTACGCCAAGCGGTGACATCACAGGGTTGGTCGACCCTTCAGCTATCAGTTCAATACATTGGAAATACCAGCAATACCTCACAACCATAAAGAACTCATCATTTGAGTTTCCTTTCAGCTTCGTCCTCCATCATACCCCATTTCTTATTTGTGAAGTATAGCTGGTATTCGCCATGTATTCAACTGGTAGCTGAATCAACCCTGTGATGTCACTGCTTGGAGTACCACAATATGGCCGCACCCTTAAGAAAAAATTATAAAACAATGCTCAATTTTTTTTTCTTTTACTTATATATTGTTCACGTTTGTAACATAATTATTGATAAGAGTATGACACAATCTAATGAACTCAGTTAATTTATAGGCTAAACACAAGCATTTTTATAGAAGACTGATATGCTGCAATATTAAAAAAAAAAAAAAAAAACTAAAATGCAAGAAGAAACAAGAACAGGTAGTTTGAAACCTTTAATCAAACATGTTTCTTTAAAAAAAAAAGTGTAATTTATGCTGAGCTCTTTTTGCACTCTCTTCTGAGAATAGAATGTTGATTCCAGTGTAATTTGTTGGTTTCCAATCGTTTAACCTTGTTTTTAGAACAAAGCAATTCCTGCTTTCTGCAAGCTTGACACAATAAAATATTGTTTAAGACCAAAAACATGACTGTTTATCATATTTACATTGCACTGTAATCCCTCCCAAAATATTACATTTGAAGAAAGTATCGTATATTCTAGCTTCGGGTTGCTTATTTTGACAGCCGACTCACAGCATCTTGTCTTCATCTTATTTAAATATTTATTTCATGATTTTCAACTTATTTTTTTTTACCTTAGGAATCATTTCCTGAAACCGAGATGAAGCCTTATCCAGATTGGGTGTTCGCCATAATCGTCATCCTCATCGTTGCTCCACTCGTATCCATCCCTCTGGTGGCCGTCTATAACCTGATCCGCCGTGGATTAAAAAAGTCTTCAGACAAAGGTTCCCTAAACCCATACAAAAATGAAGCCTTTGAGATCGAAACACATGAAGTGAAACCAAGGGACTAAAGGACTGACAGAATCCCAAAGCTACCCCCTCAACACCAAAAAGTGTTTTTTAATTTTTTAACGGAAGTCTTTTGATGACTGTTTGTACTATGATTGTAAAGATGCGTTTTGACACTTGATTTAACTCCAGCACATGAAAAACTTTATTCAACAGTAAAATCCATATTACTTTGTGTGTTCATGTAACGTCATGTTCTGAAACAAGGCGATTTACATAATTCTTGTATTTGTAAACCATTTATTTTCATTTCCAATATCAAATTTTGTGACAGAATAGGATTTGGATAGAACAGTAAACAAAACAAAACAAACAAAAAAAAAACCTGTTGTATGTAACTCATTCAGCAAGCCTGCTTCCTCCAGTGACATCATGTTTTATCTGGAAAACTACCATCACAATTAAATCAAAGTCCAGAAAAAAACAGCTATGCAATAAAAGTTGACTGCTGTGGTAGCTAGGGGATTAAATATTCATCTTTACAGGTTTACCTGTTGTTTTATGGGATGTGTTTATGACGAAGGCTTATCTCTTCCATGTTTAACACCAGATGACTAAGGACTATATTCCTCCCTTTGTATGTCGGGAAAACAAACGTGTCACTCTTTGCCGACAGGCCAGTAAGATATTGGTTGCGTGAGATCTCCTCTCGGTTAAAATCACAATGAAGGGAGGTTCATCGCAATTTTTCACTTTGATGACATTTATAGTAAAGGCTGTCTCTGCTATATTACATAAAAACAACTGGGAAAGCCGTAAACATTCCTAGAAATTCAAGTTTTCATCTAAAAAAAGGTTGGAGTGGTGGATGGTTTACATCTGGATGGCCAAGAAGTCCGAGGGTGTTCGAGGGTTTGAAGCCTGACGCACCCTGGCCAGCCTCAGATCCCCCAGCTGTCGCTCCAGCCTGCGCTTCCCTGTCAGGAGGAAAGCGGAGGATGAAGACGCCTTGTTTGTTTGCTTATTTCTTTTACAATACAATTAAACAATCAATTTTTTCGGATAAAGATGTGGCAATAAAGGCTACACCGGTTTATATAGAAACTCATTTGGGTATTCTACCCTAGATTAACCCTGTCATATAGTTTACCTTTAAAGAAAAAAGGCTTCCTGTAATGACCTCCTTCATAAATCTTATCTTATGTCATACATAAGAAGGTAATAGTTAGTAGCATTATTATGCATTTACAG